CAATAAAATTTCAATTCAACTACAATTAACTCTGTATTTTGGCAGTCCCCGACAACGGTGCTAAAAACATGATAGGGAAAATAGCAAGTGTATTATTTTTTCCTAAGTAGTAATGATAGGGAATTTCCCTAGATATTGATCTCGAGGACTGCGTATATTACCGAATTTAAATTGTGGTTCAATTAAACAAAAACTTGCGTTTGGTTTGGGTTATGATATAACTTCAACAATTATAAAGATGAAAGGAATGTAAATTATGACTTTTACTAATATGATCAAACATGCTAGGGATAAGTGTTTGATTTGCCATATGATAACTTTGACTCTTGTCTTTTCAGCAAGTTCATCAACAGTAACTACCAGTTCTTAAGATTGTCTTTCCCTAAGTCCTTAGTGAAAAACCTTTTACTTCTATCCTAATTTCAATGTCCATTTAAAACAAGTGATGAAGCCAAACATTTGATTATCAAGAATTTCCGATTATTATAAGATTTATCTAGTCCTAGTTAAAATCTTCTATAATATAATTGTCAAGAAAACCTTAACACGATTGTCCAGCTCTATGTGTTAAGAAAAGTGAAACCATATTGATCCAATAGGGAAAAATAGTAGATTATTCTGAACAATTGAATTGATGAAAAAGAACTATTGTGTTGAATAAAACAAGAGATCAGTATCATTACAATGACAAATTAGGGACACTCCCTAGTATTGGGGGATTTAGCCTCTCATAGTATTCAAAGAAAATTCAATAAAAAGATTAGACATCTTTGTTCTCCAAACCCTCGAGAGCTTTATTCCTTCTTCTGCAATTATTTCGTACAATCAAAAGTGCCTCTCCCTTCGTTAAAACTGCCTCAAGTAGTAAAAGTATTTTGTTCTCCGTCCTAAAAGTCCAAAACACCCTTTCGGGTCACACTTATGGAAGTTAAACAAAGACAACAAATTAGCAGCACACAGACCAACACGGCCCGTGTCAGGCGACACAGGTGGCCGTGTTGGTCACCAGACAACACTTCACAAAACCCATTCTTCATAGTAACTGACACGGTGTGTGTCACTTGACACGGGTGCCCGTGTTAAAACTCTGGTTTCTGGCCATGGATCCAGTCCTCTGCCTGATACGGCCTGTGTCCGGTGACACAGCTGGCCGTGTCAGACTTGCTGAAACTTGCTGAAAACTTCTTGAAACTCCTGATTTCTTGACTTTTCTCATTCTGAGTCCCTTGGATCTTTCACCTAAGCCTGAAACAATAACAACAACCAAACGAAGCATAAAACATGAAATAACTTGAAATAAAACTTATGAAAATATAAAATATGGGAAAACTTACGAAACATGAAATCATTCAAAGAGAAGCAAAATACGATACAAAATGATGTAGACTATTAGAATCATCATGAGACAAGTAAAAAAACATGACGAAAATGGTGATCGATCAACTTCCAATATGCATTTAATTTCTACTTCTTCATGATTTGATCATAAATTGAATTGTGTTGAGAATGCATAACTCCGATTGTCGTTTCTTGTTATCACTAATGTGTTTGTTAATTTGTGCAAGGTACTTTGTGAGAGCATTCAATCATGTAACTAAAGTGTTGGTTATTTTTTTGAAAATAATTTTATTTGTGGATTCGCTTTCAACGCAATTCACCTTGATTCTCATTTCATAAGAATATACATTGTTTTCATTTTGTCAGGACGTGAATTTGTGTGTAGGTGTTTTGTTTATCGTGGATTTGTTGAAATGCATTCCCATTGTGCTTTATTGATCGACAAATATTTTGACTATTATGTTGTTGATGTTAGCTTGCGCAATGTTTTCCGGAGTATTTTCGCTTTTGCTTGCTTTCTACGAACTATCGTTCATTTGGTATTACTCTACAACTTGGTTTAATTTCCGTATTGTACTTTATTTTCTGATGCTATGAGAATTAGAAATAGAGATGCATGTTTTACCGCTTTCCAATTCTATGAGAAGTAGGATAGAGATGCATGTAACATAGAGATGCATGCTTTACCGCTTTCAATCATGTAACATAATACTTATGGTCAGGAACTTCCCCCCTTTACCTACCTCGATTACCGATATCTTAGTTAGGCCTTTTGACTTGAGTTAGTGTGCACTACTTATGCCATGCATGTGCTCTCTTGAGCTATTGATTGCTTGTTTACTTTTTATCCTTGTATATACCATGTTACCTTAGGACGTCTCGGTTTATTCTTAGACATTAGATTTTCAAAACTATGCATGTTAATATTAGGTAGATATCTCCTTTTTTGTTAATTCGAACCATAGGGTCATCATTGTATGATAACATTACAGATTAGATTTAGGATAGTCTCTCTTAGATGTTTTCTTTTTCTTTTACATTCTTAAAACTAAAACTTTTTTCTTTGGCAAATACATAAAACACTATAACAACTTTCAAATCCTTTTTCGAGGTAAAAAAAATATCAATCAATGCAAACTATTTTCGCCTTCGGGCCTTTCTTTCAAACTTTCAAAAGAACATGTTAATTCATTTTTGTGCTGACGTGTGAGTCTCCAAAGGTCGAGCTGCAGAAGAAAGCGAAAGTAATATTGTTCAATTAAAAAACACAAAATAAACCAAAACATATGAGCCGAACTATGGCACTATGATTCTTTAAAAGGGATACATAGGAATCTGGTTGCGGGGCTCAGTCGAGCGAAACTTTATAAATATTTCCTTCTTTTCCTCGTGTTTTCTTTTGCATGCATTCCCTCTTTGCATTTTTCCTTTTAGTCAGTAAGCTTTAGATTAGAACACACCATTTGATTAGAACAACAAGAGTGGATCACGTAGAGAACTACGGACGTGATGGGTGCTAATATCTTCCCCTTGCGTAATCGACTCCCATACCCGTATCTCTCGATCGTTTGACCTTGATTTCACCCTTCTCGGGTTTACTTGATGTTTACCTTTTCCTTCATGTGGGATAAAAAACGTTCGATGGTGACTTCATTGATTTCATCTCAATGATTTGTTCAACCAGTTGTTTCAACGCTAAACTCAAGAATCCTCGTGGAAGCTTCACCATCAAGCAATCGAATCAGTATCCAAATGCACAAAGATTGCGTCAACAATCAATATGAAGTAAGAATAAATCACAAGTAGAAAGCGCGTCTGATAAATTCGAGGTATTGGATAAGAATTCCAATTCATTCATAAAATGAGAAATAGCACAACCAGACAAAACCAACAGCGCAGAGAGAAAACTATCCAAAGTCTTAAATAGGGTCTAAGAGTAAGCTACAAGACCGAAATGAAGTGAATTGGGAATCACTAAACATTACACTTTATTAAGTATTTTTAGAATAGATTCGTGTAGGAACCAACTCTAAGAAGTCAAATAAAATATTTGTGTTCAAACGCGTTTGAAAATTAAATCAAATTCAAAGTTCGAAATCGCAACACAATGATAAGAATATCAACACAACTTGAATTTATTTACAAGTGAATCGAATAAAATATAAAACCAAAAAATCTATGTATAATTGTATCTTTACATTACTACACATTAAATCAAAATGATAAAGTAATACACTAAAATAATAAAAAGGTAAATGGCAAGGTATGGGGGCGTTAAGAGGAAAATGAGCTTAAGCTATTTTTGGAAACTTTCACAATAACAAACTTGTTAGTAATCACAAGAGAAATTAAAATGACAAACAAGACTTGCATTAAACCACATGTATTAGTAACCAATTTTCACAATTAGAAATCATCACACATACATGAATGAAGTAGTAAAACAAGCACATAAACCGAATTAACAATTAAATCGACTTGTGAATTAACATCAAACATGAAGAAGATGTGAAGTCTCAAGAATTAGTAATTTGCAACTTTATGTTTCATGAAAGCTTTAAAGCTTCAAAACAAACTTCAATCCAAACCACTTCAATCAATTCGTTCAAAAACAACAACACCATAATCAATTGGAAACCATTTTCTATTCAAACCAAACTCAAAGTAAGCGAAAACAAACAATTGATCCAAGATTTTCACTACTTTAATAATTCCGGACAACATTGAAAATGAGTGAATTAGTGTTCAAAAATGAACTCAAGTAAGCTCAAATTAAAGAAAAGTTGACATTAAATAAGCTAAGCCACATGATGATCAATCAAAATCAATTTCGGGTTAACATTGAAGTTCAAAATGGCACTAAGAACCAAATCAGTATTAAACACTGACACTTTCGAAATTACCCAAAACCACTTAAATCAAATGGAATTGACACTCAAAATTCAACACAATTTAGGATTCAATTCATCACAATTATGATATGTTTTACTAACAACTTCAACATTTCAATATTCATTACAAAATTCAAATATTAACTTCAAGACATATTCAACATCAATATGGTATTAGCTTCAACATTTCAACTCAAATTGACATCAACCTCACCACAAATTCATCAATGTTCTCAACAAACCAAATAGACATTATAATCTCAAATCAAACTCTCATTCAAATTTAGCATTAGACACATGACATCCTCATCAAGATTTCATCTCACGTTAACAACCAATTAATTTCAAGAATCAATTCCAATTCAACACTAACAAAATCAAATCAACTCAAGATAATCCAACAATGTCACAACTTCATTTTCCTCTCTAACAGTAAACAAATTCATCACTTGATTTCCATACAAATTCAAAACATAATCTCAACACAAGAATAACCTCATTCATTTCAAATCTAACAATAACATCATCACAATTTCATCATTAAACTCATCAATTATCATTCACACAACATCAATAAAAATTTCAACAATTAAGGTACAAAATAATGATATGGAACTTTACCGAACAGTGGCGGCGTTGGACTTTGGTACAGAGCATTAAGGTTTAGTGTCGCTTCAACTTCTGATTGTCCACCTGAGTCCCGAAACTTCTCGGTAACTTCAAGTGTCCTCTCAAATGGGTGGTCTGCATCAAGAAGAATCTCAGGCTCAACTATTGGAACAAGACCATTGTCCTGAGAGATAGCAGCGTACCGTGCAAGTCCCCATGCTGCTTCCTTAATAGCCAAAGCCGAAGGACCAGATGGGATGCTAACAACTGTTTTCCACTTAGCAAACCGAGCACCTTGCTTGCAGTATTCATCAGATCTAGAAGTTTCGAGGGTTGTTGTGATGAAACGAAGATGGAGGTTGACGGTGTGTACCGCGGATTACAGTGGAGAGACGGTGAAGTAGCATAGAAAACGTTATAATACTTGAAAACGTATAATACTTTTGAGAGGAAGGGTTCGGATAAAATTATTCAAATAATCATGCTTTACAAAATGTTATAATACAGTAGTCATCTCAGATGACGCATGCATTTTTTTTTAAGGAGACATCAAGTGAGATGGCGATTAGGTGTATGTCATTTGCCCTAATTCATCTCAGATAACGCTTATATACAAAGTACTTCTTTAATTTATTTTTGTTAAAGAATTAAACGGTAATGTCGTTGTAAATGAAACTTGATTTTCAATAATAATTATACGATTACATAAAAAGAATAAAAATTACATATTATTTAGTTGTCTCCAAGGACTCGATAATGACCTGTAGTTCTGCACCCGCGTCCTCGCCTAACTCGTGGTGCATTTCAATGTATTTTCTGTTGCGGTTGGGTCGAGGGCCCTGCGAAGTCAATGCGTTTAGGATCCATGAAAGTCATCAGATCATCATATCTGGAAGATCCGCTTTCAAACAGTCGGTTACACATACCCTCAAAGTTTGGTCGTATTGGTTGGGGTGAGGTTCCATGGGGGGTCGATAGCACTGGTCGTCTTAATAAGGGGGTAAAAAGGAAATGAATCTTGTGGGGTTTGGTACTGCGATTGTTAGGTGCTATGGTGATAGGATGGTTGATGGTAAGTTAGGTTGGTTGGTGAATACTCTTTAGGTTGTCCAATGTTTGGGCTAAGGTGAGACGACGAGGGGTCCACATCAGGATGTCGGATGTATGATTGTTGTTCTTGGTATTGTGATTGTGTGTGGGGCATATGTGTGTATTGGTATTGGTCTTGGGTTTATGGTTTGGTGCTGGTGGATTTGTATGGTCGTTGTGTTTGGTGGGAGATTGATGTGTGTTGGGTTTGTTGTTGTGTGGTGTATGATTATGCCTATTATGTGTGTGGGTCAATCAAATATCTTGGGTGAGACACGTGTATTTCAGGGTTAGTAACTGATATGTACCAATCAATATATTGATATGTGTGACGCATGTTAATTTGGTTGTGGAAAACATGAAGTTGTAAGACATATTGGTGACGCCTACGCCACATCTAACACCATTCTCGAGCAAAATATTTCCAACTATTAACACCCCATTGGGCGTCGACCCTTTTGAGATGCCAGGGTGACAAACAAGTTGGATCACATGGTATTTATTGATGCATTCCGAACTGCATCTTGACACGATCACTGTGGTGCATCTCCATAATGTTGAACCGTATGATTGCAGTCTTTGTAGTCTAAATTGTTGCATCTTCGGGGTTGGGTTCATGGTCCAAACCCAAATATGGTCTCCAGATAAACTGTGGATAAAAATTAATCAGAATAATGAAAACGTTAAAAATAAATAATTTAAAAGTAGAAAAGTTTAGAGGTACCACGTACATCATCCATGCCAACGTGATCCAAAAGATTACGGTATAGAGCGATATTGAATCTTGGATTCTTGCTGTAATTCATACTCCTTACGCAGTACCTAAAGGAATGAAAAAAATATATAATTTTATACACTATTTGGCAAAAGGATGAATAATAAATTATTTAAGTTATTGACTTACTTTGTTGCATAAGGGAAAATGAATGTATTGTTGTTGGCGGGGTTTAGGGACTCCATTCTCCACCAACCCCATGTTTGGAGCAAGAAAGTGCAACCAAAAAAATACATTTGTCTTTTGTTGCATTTTTACATAATGAACTGTATAGTTGGGCTAAAACAACAGAACCCCAACTATATTTTCTTATTTTATCAAAGTTCATAAGCAAACTTAAATACATAAAATTTATACTATTTCCTGTACTTTCGGGAAATAACAGACTTCCAAATAGTATCATAATATAATTTCTAGCTTTAATTATTTTTGCCTCGTCGGTCGAATTTTCATTCAACTCAAGAGTCTCATAATGCTTTTTAAGTACGGTTAGTAATATACTTTGGCCCCTAGCACCAGTTACTTCTACCATATCTTTTCCCAACAATTCCTCGCATAGAGAATTGGGTTGTTGAACCGACCCATTCACTCCCTTACCATTGATAGGAAGACTCAATAACATGTACACGTCATCTAGTGTGACTGTACATTCACCTATTGGTAGATGAAAGGTGTGTGTCTCGAGTCTCCACCTTTCCAATATTGCAAGAATAAATTTGGAATCAATCGTGCAGATAGAGATTTTTATAACATTTCCAAAACTGGCATATTCTAGATATGGGATGATAAATGGGTCTGGGGCAATATAGTTGTGTGAGCCGCATCTAAATCTTTTAGTATCCTAAATTCAAAATGTAAACAGTGTAAGAGTTTATAAAATGTCTAAAATAATTAATTTATATATATGATAAAAGAATATATAAAATGATAAAAACTTACAAACGAGGCAATGTTTTGTCTCGTTCCTCTGTGAGAATTACCCATTCTGAGAAGAACCATATTTGAAATTGTATAAGACAGTGAAAGAGTTTGTATCAGAGAGAGTGATGATTGGTGATGCAAAACAAGTGTCTGAGATTCCATATTTATAGGTGAATTCGTATAAAGATGAGTTAATGAGGTGGTTGGGGGTTTTATAGTGTTGCCAATGCGCCAAGTAGGTTGGCACCTTCATGCACTTTATAGTGCATGCGCCACTCAAAGTGGCGTGGGCCAGGCTTAGGGTGGCAGCATGGGTGGCAGCATAGGTGCAGGTGTAGGTAGCAGGCATAGTGTAGGTGGCAGGCATGCATGCTACGTGACGAGCATATAAGGGATGCGCCATTTCAGTTGGCGCCTTAGGACAATTATATGAGGATTCACCCTCCCAATTGTCGCCTCATTGGTAGATCAAATTTGTCTTGTTCGTCTCATCTGCATATTATTTATTCTCCTGCATGCACCATATGTTATCACCACTCAAATAAATTCTCACATACTCAAACACTCAAACACTCAAACACTCAAACACTCAAACACGCAAACACAATGTCCTCTGCAACACAATATGTTATCAGTGCATATTTCAATGGAGAGACGTATAATTTTGATGTCTCTGGTTTTTTATTTAGAAACATTGATAACATCTAATTTTGTTTAAACAGAAATTTTTTTTTCGTATTTCAAAAAATGAATGGAGCTCAAACTTGAACGAGGTCCAGTGTCACACATCTTCTACCAAAATTCAGTTTTTTTGGTGAAAACCAAATAATATTTTATAAGGTAGAGGTTCAAGATGACGAGGACCTTCAAAATATGTTTTCTAGTCATGAGTATTCTGGGTACGACTTGATTGAGTTGTACATTGTGCTGCAAGAGCCTCAACTGTCACAACCAACTCAATCACAAGTGATTGATACTCTCGAAGACGAACAAGCAGAAGTAGATGTCATTGACGAAGAAGAGGAAGATTAAGAGTTAGAGTTTGACAACATGGTATGCGATGATTCTGAAGACGATGCGCTACCTGAAATTACTTTAAATGAATTCTACACACCACCTTCACACATGACAAACTTCAACATGGGCGGAGATGAACCGTCATCAGATGTTATTTTCAACCCGTATATGCAGTCAGATGAAAATTTAAAAGAGAAAGACAAATTTCGTTCAAGAGAAGATTGTATGCGAGTTATAAAAAAGTTTCACATGTTAAACTCTGTCGATTTTAAGGTAGATCGGGTAAATCTAGAAAGGTACAAGCTCAAATGTGTTCATCCAGATTGTATATTCCGGCTCACTACATCATACAGGTTAATAAGTTATTGTTGGGTGATAAATTCTATGTCCACCCACACCTTCGTTAATTCTACTCAATCACAAGATCATCGTAAACTAAATTATGATCTAATATATCAAGAAATCCTACCTCTCTTCAACAATGATCCGTCATTTAAGGTGAACACCATAATCTCTCACATCACTACAATATACAGTTATACTTTGTCATATAGAAAGGTGTGGTTAGAAAATACCAAGGCGATTGAAAAGGTATATGGAAACTGGGATGAGTCATACAAAGAACTACCACACTACCTGCATGCACTTTAGACATATGCTCCTTGAACTGTTTATATTATGGAAATATTGTCGATGTATGCCTCAGATGGTACTTCTGTCAACGGAAATGGAATATTCAGTCGAGTGTTATGGGCTTTTCAACCTTGCATCACAGGGTTTGCGTCCTGCAAACCTATTATTCAGATAGATGGAACATGGTTGTACGGGAAATACAAAGGCACGCTATTGATGGCTGTTGCACAAGATGACAATAATAACATTTTTCCCAATTGCATTTTCTCTAGTCAAGGGAGTGACTGGTGGTGCCTGGAGTTTCTTTTTCAAGAATCTCCAAACACGCGTGGCTCCTCAACCTGGTCTTTGTTTGATCTCCGACAGACATGCATCTATTGAGACTTCATACATTAATCTTGCAAATGGTTGGCATGACCCTCCTTCTACGCATGTCTACTGCATTAGACATATCGTATAAAATTTCATGAGGGATATCAAAGACAAAGCTCTTAGGGAAACAGTTATGAACACAGGGCATGCATTAACACAACCTTCGTTCAAACACTATCGCAATGAGATCAGATTGTCAAATCCAGATGTAGGTAGGTGCATTGATAATATTCCAGTAGAGAAATAGACAAGGTCAGGCAACAATGGACAACGATGGGGCCACATAACAATAAATCTTATCGAATCAATGAACAATGTATTCAAAGGCATATGAAATCTTCCAGTTACCGCTTTGGTGAAATAAACATATTTTAGGATGGCTTCGTTGTTTGCAAAAAGAGGTGAAATATGGAACGCGGTCTCACAATCGGGATAACTATGGATTGAAAGCTGCATGAAATATATTAAGACAGAAGGTGCCAAAGCCAACACCCATCTTGTTATAAGGTTCAACCGATATAGCCACAACTTCATTGTCAAAGAGACAATTGAAGACAATGAGGGTTTGCCAAGACAAGAGTATAGGATTATACTACCATCTTATTGGTGCGATTATAGAAAGCTTCAAGCCTTTCGTATGCCT